CTCCAAAACAAACCCAGCAAAAGAAACTTTTCAGCAGAGGAGAGGCCATAGAGCAGAAGAGGGCTCAGGTCACTCCTGGCCTGCTGTAGCCTGGCAGGATGGCCTTGGACAAGTCCTTCTCTGCCCGCTGCCCCAGTGGGGTGGAGGGTGGCTGGGCAAGATGGTCTGTATGGAAGCTTTGTCTTCTGACATCTATAATTCTGTGATATGACCCAGCCTCTGCCCACAGTCAGTTCTTGCTTAACAGACTGATGATTCTTTCCAGTCTGGGTCCCCAGACTGGAAGGAAGGCAGTAGGAAAGAAAACTGCCTTTTCTGCTGGCCTACTCTGTGACAGGTACTGTGTGTGGCAAGTGTTTTGACAACTTTTATTCTATCTCCCAGCTGCCTTAGGAGACGGACCTTATCAGTTCCATTTCAAAGATGAGGAAACTGAGGCCTCAAAAGCCTAGAATCAGGTGTTTCTGTTGCTGCCTTCTCCCCTCCCCCAGATGGGAACTGGTCCTTCTTTCCCTGAGACTTCCCTCTCAGAGCCCCACCTTAGTCACCTGTGGACTTGCACCTTGCCCTGGGAGCTACAGCCCAGCCTTTGTTACCCTCCCTCAGTATTGCCCAGCTAGTCTACTTCCTGCCTGGCTTGGTTGTTACCAACTTGTAACACCCATCACCTCTTCCCCACCCACCCCTGCCAGTCCCAGGCCTCCACCCGAAAGTAAGGATTTGTTTCACAGCCTCTGCAGCCCTCTACCGTGTAGACAGAAAATCTCCACATCCCAGCTTGCTTTGTGACCTTGAGCAAGTCCCTGCATCTCTCTGGACCTCCCCATCTATAAAACAGCAGGATTGGTCTAGATGTTCTCTCTCAAAGAAAGTTCTGACTTATTCTTCCAGAGGCAAGCCAAGTGGCATTTATTTCTTTATTTATGTTTAATCTTTGTTTTATCTTCAAGTATAAAAGGACATTTACTCCTCCATCTTCTGATGTATGGCCAGGCACTCTTATTTGAGTAGGAGCACGCTGTTGGGAGTGTCTTCTCGTTTTTCTGGCACAAACCATTCCCATAAGGCAGGCATTTATTTTTAAGCAAACATTTATTGCATGCCAGATGGTGTTCATACATTATCTCATTTAACCCCCTCAACAGCCATGTGGCTCAGGCTTTTATATTAACAATAAGAGTTGATGTTTGCTGAGCACTTCCAGTGTGCCAAGCTATGGACTGACTGCTCTAGAGAGGTCATCTCCTCTAATCTTCACATCTACCTTCTAAAGAACAGTTACTTCCTCTAGCCAGGTAAGGAAACCAAGGCACAGACAGGCAAAGATCATAAAGCCAGCAAGAAGCAGAATGGGGATTTTGGACATCAGTGGGTTAATTCCTGAGCTGCTGCTCTTTACAGTTCAAGTTCTTCTGCCTCCTGCAGTTTATTAGTATCCTCACTTCCCCATTAGGGAAACTGAGGCCACAGAACAGAAATGCCTTGCTGAGGGTCACCAGCTGAGATGCAATAGAGGCTCTGAGCCTTGCCCAGCTGGTGAGTCCAAGGGGCCAAGGGTCCCCTGCAGGATGGGATGTGTGGCCTACTCACCAGAGCATGCTTTCCTTAACAAGTGCCTCCTGTCACCCCCCACCTGGGGGTCTCTGGAGCCATCCTCAGCTATATTGTGCAGGACCTGATGGAGACAGACCTGTACAAATTGCTCAAAAGCCAGCAGCTGAGCAATGACCATATCTGCTACTTCCTCTACCAGATCCTGCGGGGCCTCAAGTATATCCACTCAGCCAATGTGCTCCACCGGGATCTAAAGCCCTCCAACCTGCTTATCAACACCACCTGCGACCTTAAGGTCAGAGGGCTGAGTGCCTTCCCTCCTCCCCTGGGGCTGCCAGGTGACCAGAAGCTTTGGAGCATGGCAGGCAAGGGAACAGCATAGATGAGGCGTAGCGGGGTGACTGCTTGGGCCGTGGCAGTCTCACACCCCAGCTTAATAGCCTGGGTTTGATTCCAGATCTGCGATTTTGGCCTGGCCAGGATTGCTGATCCTGAACATGACCACACTGGCTTTCTGACGGAGTATGTGGCGACACGCTGGTACCGGGCTCCAGAGATCATGCTTAACTCCAAGGTAGGAGAGCTCCTGACCTGTGAAGGGAAGCCCTGGAGCCATCTCTGACCCAGGCACTGGCCCCTGGCCCCTGTGACACAGGACACCTACCCTCTGGGCCTTGGCCTCCAGAAAGAGCAGAGTGGTTCCTCCAGGTCTCTGCACTCTGCCCTCTGCCTGGTATTTGGCCCAGACAACAGAACCTTGCTGAGGGCAGCCCAGGAGCCCACTACTTTCCCTCCCCAGGGCTACACCAAGTCCATCGACATCTGGTCTGTGGGCTGCATTCTGGCTGAGATGCTCTCCAATCGGCCCATCTTCCCCGGCAAGCACTACCTGGACCAGCTCAACCACATTCTGGGTGAGGGAGCCCTGGCTAGCTGAGGGGGATTAGCTTATCAGAAGTGAGATTTCTGGAGGGGTCGAGGTCAGAGGTGTCACAATGTGTGGAGTCCTTCCAGCATCTGACATTGTTACAGCAAGGTATCCCCATTTGACAGATGGGAAAAGCAAGGCTAAACCCAACACCCAAGAAAGTGGGAGCCAGGATTTGAACCTAGGGCTGCATAAGTCTCAACCCCTTGCGCTTCTCCACCATACTGTTGGCTGGGAGGTGACTCTGAGGAGTTGGGGCAGGGGGGTGGGCTGGGGCTCTTGTCCTGCTTCCTTGGCCTGTTCATTCCCAGGAGAAGGAGGTTTCTCACCAAGACCCCCATCTTACCCACAGGTATCTTGGGCTCCCCTTCTCAAGAGGACCTGAATTGTATTATCAACATGAAAGCCCGAAACTACCTACAGTCTCTGCCCTCCAAGACCAAGGTGGCCTGGGCCAAGCTTTTTCCCAAGTCAGACTCAAAAGGTGAGAGAGACTCAGGTGCTGGAGTGGGCTAAAGCCTGGATGTGGAGAAGAGTGGGTGATCCCTACAGCTGTCTGAGTTGACAGGCTTCTGGGAACTGGGCAAAGTGATGCTTCTGGGAGCTCCTCCAGCCTTTCTTTTGACCCCTGCCTCCTGTGCTTCCTTAGCTCTTGACCTGCTGGACCGGATGTTAACCTTCAACCCCAACAAACGTATCACAGTGGAAGAAGCACTGGCTCACCCCTACTTGGAACAGTACTATGACCCCACGGATGAGGTGCGCCAGCCACCAGCAGCAGGGCAGGCAGGCAGGCGAGGGAATACCTATCCCCTAGTGCCCGTGCTAAGCTTTACTGTCTTTGCTACCCCAGCCAGTAGCCGAGGAGCCGTTCACTTTTGACATGGAGCTGGATGATCTACCCAAGGAGAGGCTGAAAGAGCTCATCTTCCAGGAGACAGCCCGCTTCCAGCCAGGGGCCCCAGAGGCCCCATAACCTGGACAGATGTCCTTACCCCCTGGGGCCTGGTGAGTGGCCTCACTGCCCATACACAGCCTCACCTTAACACAAGGGTGCCCAGCATGCCTCAGAAAAGTCACAAATGTGCTTTACACTATGATCCATATGTATGGTGGTGACAGAAGGCCTATGAGGCCCACCAGTCCTTCGTGACCCAGCCCTGTTCTCCAACCCTATATGTTTCCCACTTGTTAACACCCAACCCAGAAACCACTTCAGACCCCCATAAGTCACTTGGCTCTGAGGAGCCAAGCCAGCCTTTGACGCTCCCTGTGTGGGCAAAGAAGCAAGTGATGCCATGATTGCTTTGGGAGGAGCCCCACAGCACCTGGCTATCCCAGATGCCAGGCTTCCTCACACCTGTTTCTCAGGTCAGCAATTACACACCTGAGGGGAATCTGCTGGGACTACCCCCACCCACACTGCACTCCTTCCCTCCTCCAGCCTCTTCCTTGGCCAGCTACGGCTGATGGAAGGAAGGCAGACACACCGGGGCCCAGGCCTCATCTCTTGCACTTAACAAAAACTGTGAGATGTCGTGCAAGACACCTTACCTCTCTATGCCTCAGTTCTCGGAGGCCATCTGATTATGAGAGCCAGCCCCGCAGAACCCTAACCACTGTACTGAGAGGTTAATGAGCACCCACTTACGCACTTAGCCCTAGCACCCTGTGATGGGTGCTGGTGGTATTCCCACCTGCAGACAGGGAAGCAGACACATTGCACCAGGTGTGAGGGTGAAATGGGAGGTTCCTGGGTCAGGGTGCACTGGGTTCTCTCCCAGCACTAACAGCTCTTTCCTGCCTGCTTCCTCCTCCAGGCCCTGCCTCCTGCCTGCCCCTTCCCCGCTGGACTGTTAGAAAATGGACACTGTGCTCAGCCCAGACCCCTGCAACCCAGGCCAAGGGTGGGCCTGGCTACCTTCTCTCCCTCTGCTGCGGTCTCCTGCTTCAGGCAGGCGGAGGTTCCCTCTTACCTCTATCCCTGTTCCCTTTCCCCACCCCACCCCACCCCATCCCACCCAGCCGTGGGCCTAAGGGGCTCAGTGGCCCTAGAGCAAATCTCTCTGCTGCTCTGCCTCCATCTTGCCCAGTCTCTGGAAGTTCTGGAATAGAAAGGCCCTGGCTGCCCCAGGATCTACCGAGGGGCAGGGGCACTAAGTAGGGCAAGCCCTGTCCCAGTCACCTCATTAAAACTCCACCCGTTTTCCCTGAAGGAACATTCCTAAGTCTCAAGGGCTAGTATCCCTGAGGAGCCAAGCCCAGGCCTAAACCCCCTCCCCCATCAAAGCTGCCACATTTAACGCCCTTGCTGCTTCTGTGTGTGGGTGAGTGGAACTGGAGGCGGGGGCACGTGGAGAGTCCCGTGCCCCTGCCCACCTCCCCGTGCCTGTATCTAATATATAAATATAGAGATGTGTTTATGGATCACCCTGGTCTGTCTGTGTGCACCGCCGCCCTCTCCTAACCAGCACTGCCTGAAGACTGAGAGCTGCAACCCAGCTGCTTCCCAGCTGTGCCTTTACATGGCCCTGGTGACCTTTGGTACCAGTGGCCAGGGTTGAGGATGGGGTGGGTATAAGGAGCTCCAGACTCCTAGAAAGAGTGGGGTCCATTTTCCCCTTAGTCACTGTCCTCTCCCTCTCTAATGGCTTCCTGTCTAACTGGCTGGGGGGTGATTCGGGGGTGACTCAGGGGCACCCTACACACCCCCAGATTCTCTGGAAATGGCAAGGGCCAGTGTGTTGTGTACCCTGGCCACAAGTACCTATGAAAGGGGTACACTCGTAACAGACCCTGAGGTGTGGGGACATGTTATTCCCCTCCCGGCTAAGGACAGAGGGGTGCCTGGGGCTATAAGGCCTGGGCTGCCTGGACTCTTACCTCTACCCCAGCCCCAGGGAGCCCTGCAGCCTGGCTGCCTGCCAGCTACACAGCAGCAGGCTCAGCAAGTCCCAGGGGCGTGGTGTCGGCCAGTAGCAGAGCCGGCCTACACCAGCCAGGCAGGCAGCAAGGCTGCAGTCCATTGGGACAGCTGCAATCCATTGGGACAGAGCATCGGGAAGGCAGACAGGAGTGTGGCCATGAGTCCTCTGCTGTACTATGCCCTGTCTGCCCTGGGCGGCTACATCACACTGTCCATCTTCTTCCTGCGCCGGCCCCGCCTGCTGCACACACCCCATGCCCCAGTCTTCTGTCCCCGCCTGGTGGCCCACCGAGGAGGTGAGCTGGGAGAAGAGCTGGCAGCTACTGGGGGTGGAGTGAAGCTAACAAGACAGGTGCCACCACAGTGGGCAGCACAGAGGGGCAGGATGCTGGAGGCAGGGCCAAGACTCTGGTAGGAAGAGAGCTGGGGCAGGGCCGAGCAGGGAATGGGGAAGGAGAGGCCAGCAAACCTGGGCTGGCGGTAGATGAGACTGAGGCCGAAAGAAGGCCAGCAACTGGGAAGGTGGCTGATAAGGTCGGGCCAGGACCAGGGACCCATCTCAGCCACCCCCCACAGGCTCTGGAGAGCTGCTGGAGAACACCATGGAGGCCATGAGGAAGTAAGTCCACCTCCCGGCCACGTGGCCACGTAAGGTTGTCACAGTTGTGTACTGTGGGACACCCAAGAGTGCCATTCCTGTCCTAATCTGGGTGTCTGGAGCCCCCTAGAGGTGTGCAGGTGTGCATAGGAGCAGATAGATCCCCCTTCTCACTTCTGTCCTGGCCTCCCCAGAGCCCTGAGATTCCTGCCATGAATTCTGCCCACATGTGCCCACACCTAGTGTGGCCTGTCCCTGTCCCTGCACCCCTCTGATCTTTGCTCCCATAGCGCCATGACCCAGCGAGCAGATCTCCTGGAACTCGATTGCCATCTGACAAGGGATGGTGTGGTGGTAGTGTCACACGACAAGAACCTGTCCCGCCAGTCAGGCCTAAATAAGGATGTGAGCAGCCTGGACTTTGAGGTAGGCCACGCCCCCACGCCCAGAGTTGCCATTTCTCCAGTGTGCACCCCTGACCACATGTTGCCTGTTCTCCCAGGAGCTGCCCCTCTACAAGGAGGAGCTGGAGGTTTACTTCTCACCAGGTGAGAGCAGGTGCTAGGCGAGCTGGGGCCACCTTCTTGGGTCCTCCTTGGACTCCTGCCCCCATCCCACCAATGCTTTTCTGATCCTGCTTCCCATGTCCTCATTTCTAGGCCACTTTGCCCATGGGTCAGACCGGCACATGGTGAGTCTGGAGGACATGTTCCAGAGGTTTCCACAGGTGCCCATGAGTGTGGAGATCAAGGAGAAGGATGAGGAGCTCATTTACAAGGTAAAAATGTAGTTGGGGTAGGGGCACAGCCCAGGCCCGAGAGAGAGACCTGGCTCTGTCATCCTCCCTCTCATCCTCCTAGATCGCAGACCTGGTGAGGCGCTTTGACCGCAATGACATCACCATCTGGGCCTCAGAGAAGAGCTCGATCATGAAGAAGTGCAAGGCTGCCGTGGGTCCCTCTTCTTCCCTGCTCCATGGCTCCTCCTCCCAGAAGCTGGAATCCAACCTACCCAGGAGGCTCTAAGCTGGAGGGGTCTGGGAAGCTCCTTAAAAACTTGAAAAGGGGACTCCTTAACAGGATTTGGAGAGGTGGGGCAGTGGGATTGTGAGCCCTGGACTAGTAGTTGCAATGAAGAGGGCACCTTCAGGCCTCCAGCATTGGCCAAGAGGTGATTAGGGCCTCCTGAGTGTCCAGCATAGTTCTCCTGCAGCCCATGCCTCCCCCCTGCTCCCCCAGAAGCAGATAGATCCCCTTCTCACTTCTGTCCTGGCCTCCCCAGAACCCTGAGATGCCACTGTCCTTCACGATAAGCCGAGGATTCTGGGTGCTGCTACTTTATTATCTGGGGGTGCTGCCCTTCATCCAGATCCCTGAGAAGTTCCTCTTTTGCTTCCTGCCAACCATCATCAACAGGTACCAGTGGTGGACCTGGGCCCCAGAAAAACAGGCCCCATTCAAGCCACATTTGCAACCCTGAACCCAGCTCAGAGTCTGCTATGGAGGAAGAGCCCCAAGCTCCTTTGATGGTTCCTTGGATACCATTCATTCATCCAAATTCATCCAAAATATTTCTGGACAGCCTTTTCTGGTCCTGTATCAGTTAAGCTAGTAAATAAGAATCATGGGTAGGTCAGGCCTTTAGTGAACTTATAGTCTGGTTTATTCAACATCTTGGTATTCAGATTCTCAGAAGGAAAAAGTAAGGAGCTTCCTCAGGCTGGAGTCAGGATTAACAAAGGAGCAATTGGGCATAGTGTCCAGAATTGGGTACTTCCCTGGCTCCCAGGCCTGGCCCCTCCCTTTGCTTTTTTTTTTTTTTTTTTTTTTTTTTAACCAGGGATTGAACTCAGGGGTGTTTAACCACATCCCCAACCCTTTTTGTGTTTTGAGACGGGGTCTTGCTGAGTTGCTTAAGGCTGAGTAAATTGCTGAGGCTGGCTTTGAACTCACAGTCCTCCTGCCTCAGCCTCCCCAGCCAGTGGGAATACAGGCCTGCACCACCACACCTGGTTCTTCCTTTGCTTTCTAACCACTCTGGTGGTTCCCCAGTGCTCTCTGCTACCTTCCAGTACGCTCAGCCAACCCCACAATCCCTTGCTACAAAGCTTTGTATATGTAACTTTTTATACAGGATTTGCAAAATGTTTCCACATCTTTTGGTGTATTTGATGCTTACTTTGCAATGCCTCTAGGAGGTATAGGAGTCATGGCCCCCATAGTATCCATAGAGAATCAGAGGCTCAGAGAGTTTGTCCAGGGTCACACAGCTGTAAGTACAGATCCCAGGTGCGTCCTAGGTCTTACTCCATAGCTTGCCTTGGAATGCTGTAACCCTCTAACTCTAAAGTCACCTCTGGAGTGGGATAATTATCGACAAGTAGCCAACCCATTAAGCACTATTTGGCCTCAAGAAGCTCACCAGATACCACCAGGAGGACCTCCAAGTGGGTTGTCCAGCTTTGGAATCCAGCTGTACCCCAGCCCTGGCATCAGTCCCACCACTGATTTGCTTCGTGACCTCCAGCAAATCCCTTTAGTTTGCTAAGGCTCAATTTCCTTGTCTATAAGACAGTAGAACTAGGCGTCATGGCACATGTCTGTGATCCCAGCAACTCAGGAGGCTAAGGCAAGAAGATTGCCAAGTTCAAGACCAACCTTAGCAAATTAGTGAAGCCCTAAGCAACTTAGCAAGACCCTGTCTCAAAATAAAAAATAAAGCTGGGCACAGTGGTACATGCCTGTAATTCCAGAGGCTTGGGAGGCTGAGGCAAGGAGACCATTAGTTCAAAGCCTGAGTGACTTAGTGAGGCCCTAAGCAACTTAGCATGACTCTGTCTCTTAAAAAATAAAAGAATTTTTTTAAAAAAGGATTGGGGATATGGCTCAGTGGTTAGGTGCCCCTGGGTTCAATCCCCATATCAAAAAAAAAAAAAAAAAGTGAGATGGGGGGCTTACCCTTGAAGCATGGATTTGGGGATCTGAGAGTAGCATCTTGCTGAACAATGGGTGATTATTCCTTTGGGCAACTGCAAAAGTTCTTCTGCAGGGACAGGGCTGTACCCCCATGACAGAGGGAGATCCAATGGGCTGACCCCATCCACCTTCTCTTCACAGGACCTACTTCCCATTTTCCTGCTCTGGGCTGAACAAGTTGGCAGCTGTGGTTTTAAAATGGTGAGATGGGCAAGAAGACTGGGTGGAATGTCCCAGTAACAACCTGCTACCACCCTCTCCTTTGTCCTGTCTCATCATCACCTTTGCCATGCCCCCATCCCCAGGATCATCATGAGAAAGAGTCTGATCCAACACTTGCAAGAGCGAGGGGTGCAGGTGAGAATATGAGCACCACTTTGGCACAGGCCTGGCATCAGGGTCCCAATCTCTGCTGCTGATGGTGGCATCACTTGGGCAAGCCATATTATCTCCAGAGTCTGTTTCTTTATCCACAAAATGGGGAGAATGGTATACATAACCCTCCTGGGTATGTAACTGCTACTAGGAGACGCACTGTGAAGATGATGCATGGGAAGATGACCATACTGTCCTGATCCCTGAGGATCAGCTTTAACCAGGTCACTTAATTAGCAAACCTTGTTGAGCACGTTCCAGACTGGGGATGAGAGCTTCCCATCAAGCGCAGGGGAAGGAAACAAGCAGGCCAAACCTGCTTTACATCACCTGTTGAAAAATGGAAGCAGAGGGCTGTGGGCTGTGAGATCTTGAAGAAGAGAGGTGTGAGCAGCCTAGGAAGTATGGGAGGAAGCTGGGTCTCAGGGAGCAGGAAGGCCTGCAGGTGTGAAGGGTGGAGAGGCAGAAGACCAGGCTGGCAGAGACACTGGGAAAGCTCCCAGGCCACAGCCTGGAGGAGGTGACCAAGAGTGGCCCAGGCTCAAGCAGGCCTGCTAAGCTCAGAAAGGAGTGTGGACTCCAGTCACAGGGAAGGGAAGCTTTGGGGGGTCTTCTAAGTAGAGAGGGCTGATCCAGTTTTGGTTTTCTGAGTTTTGCCTCCATATGAAGAAGATGTTGTGGCGGGGTGGAGTGGAAGCAAAGTATCATAGGAATCTGATGCTACTCTGGACAGGTCTCAGGCTTAGGTGGCAGTAATGGAGACAGGTAGAAGAGGACTTGGCTAGTGACTGGATGTGGGGTGAGTGAGGCCCTGGGATAACAAGGCTCTTTCTGATCAGCCCTCTTATGTCTCTGATCTTCACTACCTCTTTGTGAGTTTGGACCATCACCCTCGTTTGTCAAATTAAGAAATCAACAGCCAGGCACAGTGGTGCACGCCTGTAATCCCAGCAGCTAAAGAGGCTGAGGCAGGAAGATCACGAGTTCAAAGCCAGCCTCAGCAACAGCAAGGTGCTAAGCAACTCAGTGAGACCCTGTCTCTAAATAAAATACAAAAAATAGGACCGGGGATGTGGCTCAGTGATCAAGTCCCCCTGAGTTCAATCCCTAGTACAAAAAAAAAAAAAAAATCAACAGCTGGGCATGGTGGCATGCACCTGTAATCTGAGTTACTTGGGAGTTCGAGGAAGAAGGATTGACAGTTGGTCAACCTGGACAATTTAGGAGACCCTGCTCAAAATAAAAAATTTAAAGAGCCAGTGATGTAGGTCAGTGGCAGAATGCCTCTGGGTTCAATCCCCAGTACCTAAAGAGAAGGAGGAGGAAGAAGAGGAGGAGGAGAGAGGAAAGGGAAGAGGAGGGAGAAAAGGAAGGAGGAGGACTAGAAAAGAAAAGGAGGGGGAGCAAGGAGGAGGGGAGGAGGGGGAGCAAGGAGGAGGGGGAGGAGGGGGAGCAAGGAGGAGGGGGAGGAGGGGGAGCAAGGAGGAGGGGGAGGAGGGGGAGCAAGGAGGAGGGGGAGGAGGGGAGGAAGAGCAGGAGGAAAAGGAAGGAGGAGGACTAGAAAAGAAAAGGAGGGGGAGCAAGGAGGAGGGGGAGGAGGGGAGGAGGAAAAGGAAGAAGAAATCAAGATATTTAGTGACTTCCTTGGAATAAAAATGCTGTCTGCACCTGCCTTTAGACCCACAGAAAGGCAGGGAAGGTTCAACATCAAGGGAGGGGGCAGGCTGGAGGCCCTGGTGAGCTGCCAAGTGTTCAACAACTGGCTCCCTAAGAGGAAAGATTAAAAACCTGATTTGAATATTACTTTCTCTGATTTAAGTAATCTCACAATGGCCAATGTCAGGCTACCAATGCAAAGTCATTAAATGTAAAATTAAGAAGAGATGTGCAATAGCACACCATTGTACAGTAGTCCCATCTTATAGATTCAGCAGATACAGATGACCTCAAGAACACAGGAAACAGAGCTGGCTGTGTGGTCCACAGCTGTAATCCCAGTGACTTGGAAGGATTAGGCAGGAAGATCACAAATTCAAGGCCAGCCTTAGCTACTTAGCGAGATCTTTTCTCAAAAATAAAAAATAAGGCTGGGGATATAGCTTAGTTGGTAGAGTGCTTGCCTCACATGCGCAAGGCCCTGGGTTCAATCCCTAGCACCACAAAAATAAATAAATAAATAAATAATTTTAAAAATAAAAAATAAAGCACTGAGGATATAGTCAGTGATAAAGCACCCCCGGTTTCTAACCCTAGGATCCCCCCCAAAAATAAAAGAACATAGGAAATAGTAAAATAATAAGTAGTAAGTATTGAGAATTGATTGCCTTTGTTTTAAATATTTTTTTTTATTTGTGAACTTGTACAGTTTAGCTTTTAATAATGGCTATACTTAAGAACAAGTTTGCAAAATTCTTGAAAGTGAATCAGCTTCAGCACCACTGCTAGGCCATCTGCAGAGGAGAAGGAAAGCTCCTACCATAGACTCCAAGATATCAGTAGGGTGTAAGGGGAAGTGTGAGGCATAAGAGGAAGTTCTGTGTAAAGTTATTTGGAAACTAATAAACCCCTCCCTCCACATTCAGGTAGTGTTCTGGTGCCTTAATGAAGAGTCGGATTTTGAAGTGGCCTTCAGTCTGGGGGCTACTGGTGTCATAACAGATTATCCCACAGCCCTGAGGCGCTACCTGGACAACCATGGACCCGTGGCCCCAGCCTCCTAAGTCTGAGTTCCTCTCCTCTGTTTCTCTTCCTGAAAAATAAATATTTTCTTTTCACTCACATAGTGGTCCATGGAGTGAGGGGGTGGAGGATGGCTTCTGGAACACTGTCAAGACTGCAGAGAGGGACAGAGCCTGGGGCTGCAGCCTGGGGCCCTAACCAGCCCAGCCACTGGTTCCACTACATTCCAGACCCAGAGTAATGCCACACCCAGTGCCAGCTTGGCCCTCCACTCTCAAGAATGTCCCTTACAGGGTCAACTCGGGTGCCCTGGCCCCTGGCCATGGCTAATGGTTCCATTCTCCTTTAAGAGCCCCAAGCATACAGCAAGGCACTTGACTTCCCCCAAGTTTTGCCCCTGTGGGCCTCAACAGGCTGCAGAGGGTGAACATGGGTGAGTTCATAGGTCTGTCTGTACCGCCATCTTACCAAGTTCCCATGCCCAGGTCTCCTCCAGTCCTGAAACTTTATTCATTCAATGAAGGGAGACTCCCACTGCACAAATACTGAGTGTGAACAAGTCAAAGCAAGGCAGATACATGACTTAAACAGACATTTTCACTAGAGGCGCCCTAACCCAGCCTGAGGGGTAGGGGGCACCCCAGGAGGCTGCCTGGATGGAGGAGGTGAAGTTCATCAGTAGGACATGGCTTCTTCCAGGGCCTGTGCTCCCAGGAGCCCAACAGCAAAAGATAACTTTAGCTCTTCCCTTCTAAGACATAGTTCATCTCTTAGAAGTCTGTTCCTGGTGGTATGGCAAAGGCCATGGAGTCGGCCAAAGTAAGTTGTTTTGCCTCTTACCAGCTGATCAGCTCGAGAGAGATGCTAGACCTCTCTGGGCCACAGTCTCTGGTAAAAGGGAGACAATAGGAGAGACTGCCTTAAAGGATTGCTGCAGAGATTACGGGTGAGGCGCCGGCCGTGGAGAAACGCAGATATGACTATTATTTCCCGGGACCGGACGTGCTGATACTACCCTTCTCCTAACCCTGCGCAGGGTCAGGACCCTCAGATCCTTGCCTCTTCAAACACCGCGGGATGCCAAGGAGGTGACCAGGCCGTGGCCGCCGAGGGCCGCAGCCGCATTTCCGGGCCGGCAGCAGCCGGGAGCAGGGGGAAGGGCAGCGCAGGCCTGCGCCGGCCGCCGTGTGACGCGCCCCCTCATTTGCATGCGGTACGC